GCGAAGTACCAACAAAGGGTTTTAAGGGGGTCTTAAATTTATTAAATTTACTATTATTGTTTGGGGTGACTTATGTGCTAAAAGATATTTGTGGGATACTCAATGATAACATCATTATTTACTGGTAATAACAGTAGCTAAAGGGTGCATGGATTTGGGTGAGTTTTAAAATGTGAAAACATTGAATTTTTCCTAATTTACCCAAATGAGTCTTTGACATACATTGTATTTTTGACTCATTGTTGAGCCAGAGATACACATAACAAGAAAATGACTTTTTACCCACAGTTTATGAAGGACTTTGACGTATACCCTTTCTCCCTGAGGAGGCATAGGCCCTTAAGGAATTCTCTCCATCCCTTTAGCACTGTTCTTATCTGTTGCATTTCCCACTGGTTCATCGCACTACTCGCATTGGTTGTGATAGATGAGGTTCAATTTGTTTGGTTTTGACTAAATTACAACTTACTACAATCATCCATTAGAAACATCTCTTCCTGTTTTGTGTTTGGTTTCGTTATTGTTTCCTGAATATCTAACAACAGCCACCAGAGATTCAAGTCTTGCCAGAAGTTGTTTACAAGACGGTGCAAAATGAACAAGGAATTCTTCAGAATCCAACAGGATGGTTTGTATTTAACAATGAAGTTTTAAGAGCATGTCCACCAGAGGACCAGGCAGAGGTGATACATGCCATCTCACCGNTAATTATTACAATTGGCAATGAATATAAATGAACTTCTTGAATTAAGAATAACGTTCAGGGCAGGAAAAAAAAAAACCAGGTCCATTTCCCAGGGGCAAGTAAAAGTTTGGTGGCCTGGTTGACCTGTAAGTGAAATTGGCCTTGGTACATGTAGTCTCGAATGAAAATGTCACCTTGATAAAAGATAACTTCCAGTCAGAAACTACTTCAAAACTTAAAACTGCAAGATGAGCAAAACAATGAGTTCAAAGCATTGATTAATAATTATTTAAAATCCAAGCATACTTTGTTCTCTTCCATCCTCCCGTCACCATATTCTACCATATTGGATGTTGAATTCTAATCAGGCAAGTAATATTCATGTGGGGGCAATTGAAAACTGAAATTCACTGGCCCACTGGGCAAGTGGATTTCAAAATTTTCACAGTCTAATTTTCCCTATACCTACAAATATGTCAAAATATTCTTAATCTAACATTGCAGTTATTGATATCAAGGACAGTATGATAAATTATTAGAGATAGGTTATTATTACTTTTCTTTTACTTGAATGTTGAAACACAGGCATGAAGGTCAAAGGGTTTGGGGTGGTGGAATTGTAAAATACAGGTAATTATTATCATTTTTATTGTACTATTTTTCTGCCAAAATTTCATATTTTTCAAAATATGGAATTCAAAACAAACAGCACCATATGAAAGCACAGCTCAATACCTTTCATTTAATTGATGTACTGCTCAATAGATTTCATTTGAATGATCACACACTGATGTTTCATCCACAGACATAAAAGTTACTGTAGAACTACCTTGCACAGCATAATAAATAGTACCGCAAGGAAGTACCGCTCAATAGCTTTCATTTGAATGGTCACACACTAGGATTTTATCCACAGACTTAAAAGAGAGCAATTCTTGTGAGACATATGTTCATGAATATGAGTACTCTTTGTTATTCACAAGATAGTCACTGGAGCAAGTCTTTTCCTGAATAAACATCAGCTTTAAATATGACATGATAATTATTTTGTTGATTTTAGACCAGGATCAACTCAGTGGTTTCCATGGGTTATGGATTCAATTGACGATGCCTCTAAAAGTGAGTTCACTGTTTGTGCAATTTAAATAATGATGAAAAGCTCTGGCCATGTATTTATAAGTACTTCAGACTACAGAGAACAAACCCCAAGAAGTGGTCATTAAAAAGCTTGTTTTTTGTCTTGTAGGTTCTACTTCCTCAAACGACGTCATACCAACACAATTCCAGACTGCTGAGGCATTTGGAGACAATCTTACTTGTATAGGAATCCCGGTATATGGCACACCTTTTATGTACTGAACATCAAAATGATTAAACTTCCTCACAGCGGTTATTTATTTCTATTTCCTTGTTAACAGCTGCATCATGCTGTATGGAAGATGGATTTAAAACTCTACATACCAGTAACTATTGCTATTAAGGCATGCTTGAAAATAACTAGATGTCATTTCCCTGCAGGAATCCTCCTTGGGTTACCATGAAGAGCTTGCACTCGTGACTTTCATAATTGAACAAACCCCACCAAGCATTGTGATCAAATCACAGCCCAACCCCCTGAGGGAGTAGTGACGAAAAAACATTGGGGAAAAAAAACAGAACCTAAACAAATGAGCATACAGCTTAAGAGGTTATGCAGTACATTTTAACATTAACAGCATAATTATCTTTACTTGAATTTTTTGTTTGTTTGTTTGTTTTTTATCGCAGGAGTTAAAGAAGGGAGAAGGAAATGTCCATACAGGTCAGATTGCTCATAAATAAGTTGGAAGCATTACCTTGTTTCTTGTCTCTTGTGCACTTTAGAATGATGTTTCTGCGCATTTGGTTAATGGTAATATTATATACATGTAGAACTCCAGAAGTTACCAGTTGGAATAATAAAACTACTGCACATTTCAGTGTAACAAGTCACTGTCATGTGTAGATGACTAGACTTGGTGCTGGCATTTTTTTTTGGAAAACAAAACGTACTCTTTCATTTTTATCCTTTTACCCTTTTGAAAACATTTCCATATGAAAAAGTCAGGGATGTTTGTCGGGAAATTTGGATTAAACCATTAAGGGAGTCCACTCTGGGCATGGCTTGATTGTTGTTGTTGTTGTTGTTTTTTACCATTTCTGTGTGCAACCTTAAAAGATACCTTGACCGCTAAAAATAGTGGCATTTCATCCTAAACACCCCAGGTGAGACCAAAAATCCATGATTTACACCCTCAAGCAAGACGTCATGCATCACCGGCCTTTTCACTTGGGAGGCCCCCTCCCCCGGGACTAATAACAGTTTGATGTACTGACTACACAAGGTCTTGATTTTTTTAGGTGCAACACCCCCCTGGTTGAGAAATGATGATGATGATGATGATAATGACGGTCAGGTATGTAAAGAGCTGAGAAGCACATGATGTTATGATAAAATGTTTGTTTCAAAATAGTGAAATGTTACATGATTGACATAGTGCAAAATGGTCACCAAACATCCTCACATGGAACTGCGAATACAAGAGGTGAGGAAATTATGGTAAAATCGGAGACTCGCCCAGACATTGAGACTCCTTTTTTCCAAAATCCGAGCCCGACACTAGACTCTTGAGACAGAACGATACGCTCAAAAGTTAGACTCCCTGACTCTTCACAAAGGATTCGGAGATTTTGAAATCAGGTCAAAAGTTTCCAAGACCCACAATTTTCCAGCTACCGTTCACCATCCCTGATGCAGTCTGTATACTTTGTAAGGGGTTTTGAATGGGTATATTAATACCACTCTGACTCAAGATTCCTTTTCTGCGAAGACAGAATGGTGTTGATCACCGGGATAATTAGGCTCGATTACCAGCCGCTGTTCGGGAAAGGAGCCCGCGCTCCTCCCCCTCTTCTCGGGGAGCAACGTAGACCGGACTCGAGAAAGCGGCGGAAATCGAGCCCACGGGATAATCTTTTTAAGATTTAGTGACCAAACAACTACATAATGTCTTTCATTTTAACACTAGTCTTCTCACTTGTAACTTGGGAGATAAGCGTATGTTATCACGAAAAATTCCTGCAATACATTTAACCTTGTTATAACATGCTATTTTGCAATGTAGACGAGCAGTGCAGCTTGTAATGATGTTATTGGCCCATCCTATGATGCCTTCAAAAAACATGGTATGTCATCGTTTGTGCAATAATGTGTACAGAGAGATAGAGATAATTTCGATTATATAACACAGAATCTTGTGTACTGTCTGTTAAAGTTCCTTCTGCTCAGTTACGTCAGCTCGTAAACTTATAATCCTGTTAAGCTGTACAAAACTCTCGGCGTTTGGTCTTGACCAAAAATTGTTGTAAGCAAGATGTTTTATTGTCACAGTGCCTCTCTCCACCCAAGTGCGAAAACTGAAACCAGCGAATTGAACATTTTTTTTTTTCTAGGAGGGAGGTTGGGTGGGGCGGGATCACCTTGTGAAGGATTAACATCTCTTACTGGTGAGAACAAGGACATTTTTAGTCGTTGCGTTGCGTTGCGTTGTTTTAGTCGCGCCCCTGAGACCGTAGATTTACCCCAGCTTGACGGGTCACTAGGTTTGAATGCCGACTTTACCTTCCAACATTTTGTCGGTGTTTATACCACGAAATTAATTATTAGCTGACAATGTTTCTTTCAGTTGAACGGATGAAGAAAGTAAACGCAAACAACAAAAATCCCAACAGAGTTGGTGCAAATTTTGACAGGAAAAAGGAAACGAGCGATGATTGGTGAGTTGCCTCATCGCCTTGTTAAATTTGTCATAGTAGGGGACTCCTCTGGGGCTGTTTTGTCAGCGCAGTAAAGATCGTCTCGTTCAAGAGCAGCGTCACGGTTTGCTCAACTTGAAAAGTTTAGCCTAAATTTTTTAAGTTCGTCTTTTGTAATCCGTGTTAATCTGCTCCATCCTTAACCACCCTCGTTCCTTTATGGTTTATTATTATCTCTTTGGTGTTGTTCTATTGAAGTAAGCTACCATTTTCCGGTTTCTTTCAATTTAAAGGTAATTTTGCACGTGGCCAAAATAAGTCAACATACCACGCTGAGCTACTTTTAGAGAGTAATAGTGTTCCTGATGTTTTATTGTTATTAATTTAAGCACACAGTGCTTTAATCTGATGCAGTCGTGGTTAGCTGGTCAGGAAAAATTACACTTGTGCGCCTGAAATTTAACTCTAGAGGTTTTTCTTAGATGGGCAGTGTGTACTAAGATGTGGAACAATTTTTGTGAAGGGTACATCTTAAGGAGAACACAACAACAGTTTATGCATTGTGCAACTTTTTCAGTGATTTCATGAACATTTTCAACAGCAAGGCAACTGGTTTTCATAGGCAGGCAAAACTTTCTGAAGTGAACTTCGTTGTAAGAAAAACTTTCCTCTAGACGGGCAAACCAGGCGGGCAAAATTGTCTTCACAGCCGGTCAATTTGCCCAGTGCCCGGCACTAATGAAAACTGTTTTTTAGTGGATCGTTAAGTCCATAAAACCTGATTCACACACAACGATATAACGACACTCGCCTAACGCCTCATGTGCCACTTTTTTGTTCTCACCGCATTTTGACGTCTTCTGCGATCTATGACTGACTAGACGCACGGCAACAAGGAATCTATTTGTTAAAATAGTAATGCTTCACCACCAAACTCTCAAACCGATAAAGAGTTTTACGCAATTGTTAAGAATTGTTATGTCATGTTTTTGCAGGCTTCCTTCTTTTGGCAGAGTGTGGAACCATGGCCCTCGCTGGCAATCCAGGTAAATAGGAATTTTTGTAACTGAATGATGGCAAGTTAAACTTTCATGTAATCGTTAGCTCTTTCCTTCTTTTTCAGACACGACTTCAGAGGAGAAAACAAGAAAGCCAAGAGGAAATAAAAATCTTCGTTAAATGGTTTCATAATAAATTTAGTTTGTCAAGACGATCTGTTTTCTTACTGCAGTAACCGGGGCCGGGTTGTTTCAAAACCGGTTAACGTTAACCCAGGATTAATAGTTAACCTATAAAAATGTTTTTCACTGCTTATGTTTTGTGTAGTTTGAGATTATTCGACCTCGAAACAGTAGGCCAAACAATGTAAACAGGAAACTCTTCCTCAAAGTTACAAAACTTAAATCAAAATTACCGCTATTCCTTTGAGCAACTAGGCCCAGGCCTTGCTGGGGTAAGCTGGGCATCTGCTGTACGGAAGTACATTGGCGTTATCTTGAATGGTGATATTCGTCTTCTCCTAACATAACCATGGCCTCTTCGGACCGAAATAATGCTAAAACTATTTGTTGCCCTGTACCAGACCAGAACAATGTTTACCTGAGGTGCCTTGGCAACCGTTTCCAGCAAAAGTAGAAGATATTTTCGGGAATGAAGCCAGCATTGAATTACCGAACATTTTAGTCCAAATATCGAACTAGCCAATATAATCGTGTGTTTCTCGAGCTACTATTTCCTTGTGCTGAGGCCACACCGTTTAAGAGGAACATACGGCTCTGGGGACGAGAGTGAAAGCCTTTCGGAGGAAAAAAAAAAATGCAACTTCTTACTTTCAATTGTTCACAACAATCCTCAAGTTGACAACACCTTAGCGAACAGACCTGCGGGTCTGCAAGTTATATTCGATTAAAAACAGAACCATGCATACACAATGAAGATAAAGAACATAAGACATAAGTCATAAGAAAATTTAAGATCTTACAAGGCAAAAGCTTAATCAACGTAGGAACGTGACTTGAGCCAGAATTTTGCTCGGGCCTGAATTGGGCTCGAGCCTCGAGCTACACTCGTGCAGCAGATTACACACATAGTTTTGTCGGCTCAGCTGACTTTGGTCGCGGAATCTAATATGCGCGGAAAGTCTCTTCCAGGGTGCTATACACGTGATTAGTAGGGTTTCAAACGGTCAGATCCGTACGCTTTAAAACTGACAGACCTGCCTAGATTCCCTTAGAAACGCATCTTCAACGTGCAAATCAAATCCCAGGTTAAGGTTTCAAGCTATAGGAAATCCAAGTGATTTATAGACAGCTTATTTATAGGCAGCCCCCTTTTTTAGAGGTATGTGGTTTACTAAAATTTAAAAGTAATTTTACATTTGCACGGTAGTCAATACTGATAAATACAGTGGTTTCAACGGTGCGGGACATTTTTATGACTTCGTATAACAGGCCAAGAGGGAGTAATGGAACAGCCAGTTATTAGAACGTGGTAGAATTGGGGTTGTATACTTACTGTTATTTCTATGCCCGTCAAAATTCCCTTAAAAAGTCGACGGAGATTTTCGTTCAAATTAACGCGTCCAGTCTTCCAGTCTATTGCAAATACCGCAATTAATATAAGTCCTGGAAAGCCATTTAGTTTCCACTTCAACAACGATAGTGAACAATGGAGAAAAATGGAATGTTTGTTCATTCTGTCTCCCCAAAATCAAAAGGTGTACCTTTATTTTTTTCTAAATGGAAGTTTTGAGTTCTGTTGTACTAACTCTTTTTCAAAATTTATTTTTCTCCTTCCCGGCGCCCACCCCGTCGGGCAGCGCGCAGTTGTCACTCCAGTTCTCTCTCGGTTCTTTTTCCGCGTCCGTGGGAAACAAAATATTGGCAAAAATCATAGCAAGGAAAAGCCCTGAAAGGTTGCAGACTCAGTGCTGCCAGAACAATAATTGCCACAAGAAATCGAAAGGCTAACGCCTATGAGCTAATATAAGAACAATTTTCAGATTGCGACAGACCCAACTTCAACTTTCTGTGGCCAAATGGCGCGGAAGGAAAATAGCCAATCCCCTTTTGAATCCCTTCATGAATCACGTGTTCTGTCACATGCTGGTACACGTGATTGACCTGACCTTGTAGCTTTGATGGACAGTTTCCAATGGTAACAACCTAAAGGGGCGATGGAAGGGAAGCTGATCGAAGTGACGTACCTTATCATGTGATGTTCGTTGTCCTCGTGGTTTATTTCGTCGTTTCTCTCTTCTTGTTCACATGACCAGTTTGTTTGACCCCATGACCACGACTCCGCACTCCAGTTCTCCGACTCTGGACATGCTCGACGGGTCTTTGGACCCTGAGAAAAATTCACCATTACAAGATCCCAAAGGATCCGATCCAAGCCAAGTACCCGAGCCAGAAACTGTGACAGTGACGGTTTCGACCGTTTCTGACGAACAAACTGCAGCTGCTCTAGTCGGACAACAAGCGAGTGCTGCTTTTGGTGATCCAGGTACCCTTCAGTTCCAGTACAGGCCCGACACAAACGGTGTACAGGCAACGGGATTCAATGGCGGCACGCAACAAATTCGAGTTGTCCAAGTCCAAGCAGCCGATCCTACTGGCGAACGGGTAGATGCTGCGACGGCAGCGTTCGCTCCGCAAGTGCAAACTGTCATCCAAAGCCCGTTCAGCAATGGTTCTTCTCCAACACACACAGTCGAAGCTGACGGGGCCGCAGACGGAGCAAGATTCACGTACTTTCAGCCGGCAGACGCGGCTGCTACAGCGACGGTGGTTCAGGCTGGCGGAACTGATTCTTTAGAAGCTAGCGCTTACACGGTGAGAAACATTCCAGTGTCGCTCACACAGCCTTCGTCTCCTTCCCAAATGCCGATTACAATGGCCGAGGCCCAAACCATCACGACAGTTGGGACTGCGGCAGGTTTGCTACACGTTACTTTATACAACGGCTAACTTTGATTTTTAATGAAAGTTTTAAAATGTCGTTGAAGTAAGGAAGCTTAAATATGTCATGTTTTACGACTATAGGTGGGTTCTATGTTATGATGTCGCCCCAAGATGTTATGCCAGGAGGAAATCAGAGGAACATTGCTCCAGCTATAACTCACAAAATCACAACGTAAGTGGCTGTGAAATCACCGTAATCCGAAAAATTCTGTTAATTGATTTTCTACCTCCGAAATAATATATATGTGTTGAAATCCTTGGCCGCTTGAATTTGCCAGTCTTTTTATGGATAATCTTTTATTTATAAGAAAATCTATCTTCCCTCTCGATATTTCCGCGATATGTGAATCAACCCCGGGGAATCAAATTGAAGCTAAGGCCTTTACAAAGCTAAAATATGGTGGTGATAACATAAAACCGCAATGTGAAGTTTTCAGCATAAGCACAAGTGAAAAAAAATAGCTATCAGGTCCGTTTCCTGGTAGATTGCAGTCGACAATCGAACGTTTTATTGGGCAGGCCTCAAGCCACACTAAATGTAATTTGATTCGAATAAATCGATGACTGTTGTTGTATCTAGGCGGATTTTCACTCTTCAGTTCACGAAAGCGTTTCTTTTCAACATACCTTCACTGAGGTGAGCCTGTCCTTGAAGAACAACCTCGCTGTGTTTTGAGAATTGTTTTGTATTTTTGAATTCACCGGCACCTCTGTCATGTGTCCCACATGATGGTTCGGTTGTTGTCACATGATGTTCCTTCAATCATGTGACGGTCGTTGTGGCTATACATTTCTCGTTCGAAGGACAACTTAACACGCGAACGAAGGTTAGATTGATATTTTCCGATGTGGAACCGTACAGGACAGGTTAAAATCATGGAGGTTGTGTATGTTTTAGATAATACTATTGCTCTTAACAGAAAACTTGACGCTCCGAGAACTGCCAGAGACGAAAAGAGACGAGCAACTCACAATGAAGGTACAAGAAACATTTGATGCCCTAGATGCCAAACTATTTTAGCTTTATAAGTTGTATTATTATGTTTGAGTGGTGAACTCGTAATGCCTTCTTATCTCTAATCCTCTTCACGGCTTTCATAGCGAAAGTTTAAAACCTTTGTATCTGAAGTAAACGAAATATTGAAATTGCATTGCCTTGGAGAGTGAACTGCTATTCAGAGAACTTTTGCGTTAGAAATGGATATGTGATATTTGTTACCATATATGAAAGCATATTAACTTAACTGTGAATTAAATCAACAGTGCTAAGTTTTTATGTTGTTTTCTTTTTCTTTGTTAGCCTCTTAGGTTATTTCGTAGTTATTTACCAGCTCTTCTCAATTCAGATTGTTGGTAAAAATTGCTTGAATTCCAAAGTGTTATTAGCATGAAATTAATTGCTAGAGTTTTCTTTGCTCGATCTGATACTATGCCTTCTCCTTTAGTTGAGCGTCGCCGCAGAGACAAGATAAACACATGGATCAACAAACTGGCTAAAGTAGTCCCTGAATGTTGTCAAGAGCAATCCAAAGCTGGGCAGGTCGGTGGATCACAGAATATAGTAAGCAGTGTTAAGTTTATTTTACCATTTACATAGAGTTCTTAGTGCGTTCCAAGAGATTTGCCAGAGGTGGGTGCCCTTGTTTGGCACCCATCGGAAAGCAACAAGAGAGGCCCATAGGAGGTTTCTCTCAAGGGCCAATTTTTAGCCATGGATATGTGAAGCGTAGAAACTCAGATGTAAACAAGTTGATTTGTCAACAACCAATATTCAGTAATTCACAACATGCCAATTTGTCCCTCGCTTGTCTAAAGAAATGCCACAACCTAATACATTGAAATACACTTTGGCTTTCCTTCGATACATACTCGTTGCGGTCAGCACATATGTAATCAAGTCATTGCTAGTGGCTGTTTGAAAGACTAATAGGTGTAACTTTGTGTGTAGAGATTGAATGTCAAGCCAGAAGAGTTTTTGATTGAAAGATAAACAAAGCTGTTGGAAACATCAGTAGCACAACTTATCTGTTCATCCAAACAAGACACTCTTGTCGCCAACGCAGTTAGAAAGCTAGATATGTACACAAAATTATCTACAGTAGAGTAACGAAAAAAGTCATGAAAGGGTGAGGTGTTCCGGGAAATTTGTAAAGGTGTCAAGAAAAAATCTTTAATTTTCAGGGGTGGATAAACTTTGAAATTGTAATAAACAAAACCTTAAGATGAGTATTGTGTTTCAAGGGCAGAGTTAGTTTGACTTTTTTATGTGACCTTGTTAATTACCTTCAAAACCTGTTCACATATATTGCAGTTGATCGGGCAGACCTCTCTGTTTTGTAAGCAATGTATCCACGACTTCTTTATAGTTGTTATTTGATTGAAAACTGCTAACATCATGGCTGACAACTCATAACAATACTCTCTGTAACTCGGGCAGGTGACCGGTCTTACTGAAAGCAACAAAAGAATTTAAGACTTTCTAGTACTTTGTGCCCCCGTGGCCCATGTTGGAATTGTACACTTAACTGCTAGACTTTTAAAGGACTCTTGACAGTTCAGTAAGATATATCTATTGTTTATTCAACAGAGTAAAGGTGGGATTCTATCAAAAACAGTGGATTATATAAATGAGTTGAAATCACACAATGCAAGAATGGTGGAAACCATCAAGGACAATGAAAGGTTGAATATAGACACAGAGCTTTTACGACAGCAAGTCGAGGAGCTTCGACAAGAAAATGCATTGCTCAGGGCACAGTTGCAGCAGCATGGAATTGAACTTTCCACAGGGCCATAGAGCCTCTAAATGTTCATGTTCCTTCCATAGTTTATTGCTTTTCTGTGTAAAGACATCCCTCTGTATACTTGCATAAACAGCCTGTGTGGCGGCACTCCTTTTCAGAATTTCCAAGATTGCCATCGGAATTTCCTCCTCTTGTGTGCAGTGAATTTTTACAGCAGACTCTATTTTTAATCAATACTTGTCAATCCTAAAGAGATCTGATCCTTTACTGTCGCAGCCTGTGTTTGCCGCAGGTCTCGTTACTGTAGTGGCAAGAGGTTATGTTTCATGCTCCAAACAAAGATGTGTAAATGTGTTTACCTTGTAGAAAGTTATGTACAGAGAGATGTGTTATTTTAGTGTAAAACAAATGCAGTCAACCCAGGTGGGGAGACTTTTGAAAGTGATAGGATGTTCCTTGTATCCTTAAAGATGATTTCTAGTCTGTACTATGCAGTCTCATCACCCATGTTTGCGAGTCTCACTCAGTGGGATGCGAATCTATGTTGTTCGTTACAAACCACTTACCTTATCTTTGAGGCAATTTAAATTCTTTTTTTCAACAATTTCTTTAATTTTTAGAGCCATGAAGCTGTATCATCCATTAATAGCAGTCATGAAACTTTGACTTTACCTCTTGTAAGTTGCTACAGAATGTCACATTTTGTGACATCGTACCTGAATCAAAACAAAAACGTGAATAAACTCTCCAGAGTGCACAAGGGTCTGCACAATTCAAACTGGAAATCATCTTCAAGGTGTGGAAATGCTTCCTTTGTTACCACTTTGGGTGTTCAATTGAGTTATTGTTCTACCTATTGGGATGTAAACTGTGCAAGTGGAAAAAGAGTGCTTGATACATTGGACCCAGTTGTTCAAAAGAAGGGAATTCTTATGCACTGGATATCCCATAGATTTGGCAATCTTTTCCTGCTGTATAGCTTGCACTGGTCATGGTATTCTTCTGGGTGCCAAGAGTGCTTTTACTTTCTCTGGTTCTGGTAAAAGAACATGTGGGGTATTTCCAGAATTAAGTGTAATCTTATAATGCTTATGGTTGTTTTGTAACTTTCAGGAAGCATCTCTGTCACTTTTTAGAGTCCCTCATAGAGTAACTGTCAAAGGGAGGGTTTCACAGTTCGTCTCATGTCTCGAAATCAAAATACTTTTGTTCACCTCTTATCAGTGTTATCGCTTTAAAACCCCCACTCAGATGTAGATCAGTGATCACTTGCTATAGTTAGTCGTGGCAGAATGACAGTTGACCAAAATTCTCAGAAGATTCAGTGGATTTTACTGACACTGTTGACTTTTGAATTTAGTGTTAACCCCTACCATTTATTCTACGGTTGATGATTTTACGGCTATTTGCATGCAAAATTAGGTAACTTGCTTGCAATTGGTTCATAAACAATGAAAAACTGGGCCTGTGCCAAAAAGCGAGCACAGGCGAGTAAATAATACCGACATATGTTGAACTGTAAAACCCTCCCTTTAAGTGGTTCAACAACAGTAGTAAATTTCAAAGGTTATGAACTCTTAATTTTTTTCTTTGTACTTTAATGAAACATTAAATTTAGTTTACTTTTTGTGGTTTTAAATAGCTTATGTAGATAAATATTATGTACATCTATGACTTAATTAAACAGAATATGCTGTGACAGCATCGAGACATTTAAATATCAGAATTCATGTTTTTTTCTGAGTCACAATATTTAAAAAATTACTGAATTTTCTCAGTTACTTGGAACAGCCTGTCTGAAAAAATATTTGTCAGCCAAAAACTTGGTGTCATCATGTTAAGCTAGTTAGATGCCTTTAGTATAACTTCCCGTCCATGTGAATCTTGTGGGTTTTTAGTTGAAAATCAGTACAAAGCAAGAACACTTTGAAAGGAAGTATTGCTCTGTATGTTATCTTAAACTGGATGAGGTTTTCATCATATCCAATCTTCAATAGCTGGTGGGATTGCCTTTTAAAATGGTGGGATTTCACACTCAAGTGTTTTATAATTTATTAACAAATTCTAAACTGGCTAAGCTCTTAATTCTCATTCACCCACTTGTTTCCCTTGCTCCACTGGCTAAACAAATGTGTTCTCTGTGCCTGAAACAGAGAACCTGAGGCAACATCCTATGAGCCATGCAGGATTGCGAGACACAGAATTGTCTGTGCAATTAGCCAATCAGTAACTTTCTCTCTTGTGATGGTAGTTGCTGACCCAATATTGCAGTTAAATACCTGATAACACATTAAGTTGAGTATATGTATTCCTTGGTCTCTTGTATTTTTGTTTCTCTATTGATTACGTCAACTGTGTCTTCTACACCAAGTAAGAGCCGGTCTTCTGAGATTGATCCACAGATGGGGGGCTGTACCAAGAGTATCAAACCAATCATCTTGCTTCCCTGAGTCTCAAGGTCATTTGCTCTTCCAGCTCTTATAAGGTCCCTTCCGATTGGCTGACTTCCTTGGATTATTTAAATATATTTTTTACTGCCGAGTTTGTTAAGAAAACATGGCCTCCATGTTGTGAAATAACATGATTGTGAAATGGGCCACTTCCGAGTTGTCTTTAAAAATTGCCTTTCCATCAAAACGAGTCCTCCGGCAAAGCCATAATTAGTTAAAAACTTTTCAAGAGCATGGTTGTTAGTGCAAATCAGACAGTTTTCCATGCAGACTTGTTTTGAAACAGGTCGCTCTGAAATGGCCCATTAAATTAATCTCATTCCCAGGGTCTCATCTCTTCTGAACTTCACGGCAGAAAACGGAAAGGGCCTGGGGTCAAGATTGAAAAATTTGACTGGTGCGCAGGGGATCCTAGGGTTAACAGGGACCGCGGGGTGCAGGAAGTGGTAGGGCTACAGCCCTACCACTGTCATTGCTGAAATTCAATTTTTAGGGCTCCAGATAGCACAAATGCAAGATAACTGGCAATACACTGACCTTGACGTTTGATTTTTTTTAGCCCTACCACTTAAAAATGGTCTCCGCCGTCCCTGGTTAATGCAAATGACAAAGGCAAGGCAAGATAAGGCAGAGCAAATGAAAAATCCAAAACCTGAGAGAGGCAGAACGCGAGACACGGTTCGAGCGCGGTTGCTTCTTTCTCGAAGCTTCACCCTCCACATTCCACGCTGCACGTACGCCCCCTGGGCACTAGCGTTTCGCGCTCCGCTCGGCTAAACCGCCCGTTGTCCACGGGAAAATTGGGATGCAAGTAATCAAAAGATCTCTTTTAAAATTATTGCAAATAGAGACAGTTACAGAAAAAAGCTCTTCCTCTTTGATATCATGATACTATGCAGCTCTTCTTGAGAGAATCTCTTCTTGGGTTGAATCACGCCAGCCGGAATTATTTCCACACATTCCCAACCTTCATCTCCCTCGGCCTTTCACTTACTGACCCGTCTCCTCCCACATTCTGTCACTCCGCCACCCACTCCCTGCTTTTCTGAACTTGCAAGCAAAAAACTACCTTTCTACTACCCTCTAATCAGCTCTGTATCAGCGAAATTACCCCAAAGCGTTTACGATCCAACGACCGAAATTGTTTCAAAGCAATCGGTCATTTAACCAACCTATTGTAAAACAATTTTTTACATTTATGCTCGAATTTCAATGTTCCTCGTGGGTCGATTCACCCTACACTATATGCACATGAAATGAAGGAAAGCTGCATTTGAAAAGAAGTATCTTTAATAGAACTCCACATACAGCGGACCGAGTTTCAGATTTGTCTAAAATTAAGAGAAGTTTTTTCCCATCTCCTTATTTTGCATCGCTTGGCTTTCTCACTCATTTTTCTGTATGTACTGCTATTTATTTCCTCTTTTTTGATTTTTTTACGCGCCAGTATTCTTTGTCACTCGTCGCCTTCTTCCAATGAACAGGAGTAATAAATATACTTCGGTCGATTCCGATTCCTACCGACTACTCACGAGCACTTACGACGACACTCGAAAGTTATCACCCTCAATCAATGGCAATTTGCAGATTGATTCAATAAAAGCGTGAAGAAATGCTCGTAAATATATTTTTGTAAATTTGGAATAAATTCTTGTGCTTGTTACTACAGTGCTTGCATGTGTGGGAAACACAGACTAGAAGTAGGTTGACAAGCAGAAATTTCGAGTGTTGTGCTTCCCGGCGTGGAAGTAAAACCAAGAGGGCACAAGCCTTCAAAATGGAGTCTTATATCTTCTGGTCAATTGAAGTTTACGAATCAACCGATTGGGAGCAATGGATTTCATAACACTTTCCAATAAGTTATTCCTTCAAATTGTTAAAACTTGCAAAATATGTTACAAACTAGTGGTTGTTAAATCAATATAGAATAATCTATCATAATTCGTCATTAGCCTGTTTTTTCGAACTACTATCCGACGAATGTTCACGTTCTTTTGAACTATCCACTGATGAACTAGAACTGCCTGCGGGCTCGTTAGAAGAGGCCTCCTCTGCACTTGGTAAAGGTAATGGCTCTTCGGTATCAGAGTCTTTTTTATCGTCTTTGTCCTGTTTCTCTTTTGGTTCTTTGGGTTTTTCTGATTTTTCTGTCTGCTTCTTTTCGCCATCTTTGGGTTTTGATTCTTCCTTTGCTTTTTCTCCTTGTGGTTTATCTCCATTCTTGCCTTCTGTCTTACTTTCCTTTCCTTGTTTTTCTTTCTTGGCGTCCGTTTTGGGTTTTGTTGTGTTTGAAGCTAGATAGTAACAAGTAAAAAAATCAATCAATCAATCAACAATCAATCAATCAGTGTTAGGGAATCTGAGTTCCGTCAGCAGTGACTTCACTCATATTTCATTTTCTCAAGCTTCCTGCATTCTCTGGTCTGGTAATGGTGCAGAAGTGTCTATGAACAGCTTAGTGGTGAACTTAAAGTCCAGTAGCATAAAGTGCCTGGGAGTATTGTGACTCCCCCTGGATTGCATGGATGTTGGTCCACTGTCAGCAGTCCCCTCCGCTCCCCCCTTGTCTTATCTTATCTTACTCGCATGACTGCAGCACGTGCCGTTCACTCGAGGAGCACGTGATTCGTACCTGTTTCATTGACCTTTGGTTTCGGCACGTAATACTTGGCCTTGTTCAAAAGATACACCAACTCTCGGTCAAGTTTGCCTTGTTTAGACTCGATGTCCTTCACGAGCAAAACAGGATTTTCACTCGGCTTAGCTTCGTTCTGTTTCTTTTCGTTCTTATCTATCCATTCCTAATTAAATAAAGAGAAAATGTGTTACTTAAAAGCTAGCTTAAAAGCTCAAAGGTCCCAACTGAACACTGGATTGCATGGTTACCACAGACATCACTTTTCAATATTCCCTGATTTTTCCTTGGTAAAAATCCAATTTCCCTGACCAAATAAATCAAAATGTCAGATATTGTAACGGCTTCTAGCCTCAACTTACAACCGTCCTTTCCACTTGTTCATTACACTGATACGTTTTCAACATTTTTTCCTTCTTCATTAAGGAAAAATGTCGTTGAGATCACAGTGACCCCAAATGTTTCTTCCATCTTTCAATGGTATTAAATCAGCCGCGTTAAATTCTTTCAATTTTCCCTGACTTTTCTTCAAAATATCAATTTTTCCTGACTCAAAGTAAAATTCCCTGACTTTTCCCAGAACTTGAATAGTTTTTTTTCCCTGAAAATTTCCTGACCTGTGGCAACCCTGCTTTAGACACACGTTTCCTGATAACGTTTCGCAGAAATTTCAAAGAAATACATCTTACCGTGGTGTCGTTGATAATTTTACCGAGTTCTTCCAAGTCCTTCGCTGTGTAGATCTCATCTTTGTCTGTGATGTTGTTAATTTGAACCAGGAATGTTCTGGACAAGTTTAAACTGTTCCTCAACATCTCGAGTGCCTTCGGTCTCTCCTTGTGTTCTCGCAGGCGAACCCGTAAATCTAATGACTGTTTCTTCAGCTGTTGCAGTCTACCATCGTACACCTGATCGAGGAAAGCGAAAAAACGCGAATTCAAGAAAAATGAAACTTGCGGACTTTTTACGAATTCTCTACAATTGGAGAAACTTTCATGAACTGCAAAACCAAGCCGTGTTTCAAGGTCTTAAATTGGATAGAAATGTGTCTACAACTCAAGGAACTTTCTCTGTAATGCAAGGACTTTTTCAAGACCTCTATGCGATTCAAAAACTTTTTTAGGAAGTGCCTCTACGATTCTAAACTCCTCCTAAGGGCTTTTCAATGGCTCTCTCTTAAAATAAATTCAAGCACTTTTTCATAATCTGACTCTGAAATTTTAAGCCCTTCAAAATTGGTGATCTATTCTCAGTTGAAAGAGGCATTAGAGACTTAAACTTTTTAGGCTAATAAGCAATTACCTTGCTTTTTGTTGTTGTTTTTAGAAAGGCACTACTGATCCTTACTGGAAATCCAATGTGGCGGCGGCTTAAGTTGAATGTGTTTTATGGTGCTTTATTTCTCGAGAAAGCTATACTTACCACAAAACGTGCTGTTTTTTTTCAAAATTGGCGTTACAGTCGAATCTCTATTAGGCGGCCACTCTCAGGGACGAGATAACTGGCCGCTTAATAGAGGTGGCCATTTAATACGGTTCAACCGAAAACAACGTTGGGAGCGGTCCAGTTTTCAGTTTATCAAATATGAGTTCAAATAACCTATGTATCAGGCCTTTCTTAGCAACAGGGTAGGGGTAGGGGGGAATTGTAGAGAAAGGCCTGACACAAACGTTTTAATTGGCTTAGGTCGAACATCCAAAATCTGGATGTTACGCTGATTGGATAATACACAACGCAACATAACGTCACACTACCGGAAGTGAAAGCATTTCGATTGGTAATAAATTCTTTTCTGTCGGGACATTTATCAGGCTTGTTATTTCATCGTCGAGCTCAGAGTATTGGTCAGAAAACTGAGCTCTCACCTGAAGGTCTTCGCTGAGATCTTTCAGCTTCATTTTCACAAGTGCTGTTTTGTTTTTTTTGTCTTTTTTTTTGTTTTTTTTGTGCCGCTTCGCCTTTGAAGTCACTCCAGTTACGGGATCGCTGGCCTCGAATAGGAATTGAGCCCCTAAGACTGGCGCTTGAAGGAGTTCGCGGAGCGCTTTCCTTCGCCTCGCCGAGCGCTCTACCAACCGCAAATGCCTCCCGGAACTCCGTGGACATTCTGTAGCAATTTACTATTTTCCTAGCGCATTTTTTGCAAACAGACCTTTTGCGGTCTTTACTATCTTGAATGACAACAATTCTCAACTCGAGAAATAATTCCACAAGAATGACAGGTCTTTCACCCAAAACATTAGAAAACTCTTTGTTAGACTGTGGTGACATACTTTCCATACTCCATACTTTCCAATTGTCGAAGTAAATTGTTCAAATATTCTCGGAAATCATTACAGACATGGACGAAACCGGATTATTTGCTCAAATTCCCGCCGTTGTCATCTGTGATGCATGCAAAAAAAGTAAACATGACAACCGGAAATGATTGTGATTGGTTGACAGATATACTGTCAGTCTTTTCTTTGCCAGGTGTTTCCTCCTCCTAACCCGCGAGTAAGAAAAGCCTGGTACTCAGGTTAGAGTTCAAACAAATGCAAGTGCAGAAAAAGTAGAACAATGACGGGTTATAATACGGTCCATAATGTTAACAAAAGCCAAAGAAACAATGATGTGTACAGACGCGACGTGTCTGTCAACCCAACACTGGCTCGTGTGCTATGCAAACAAACTGTTGTGATTGTTTCAATTAAATAGTGCTAAAAATGTGGTTTTTTTACAGTATTCCACATTGTCATTCTCTTACCTTCATCTGGCTAAAAACGTCCAACTTAAATCTTCCTGGCCGTTTAAAAGAGGTATAAAACAAACAAAATCACCCTTGAGACGGCAAGAAGTTGGCCGCGCCCACTTAATAGAGGTGGCCGTTGAATAGAGGTTTTTATTACCGTGTATAGCTGACAATTTTTCCGACACTTTGGCCGCTGGCCGCCAAATAAGGGCTGGCCGCTCAACAGAGGTTCGACCGTATTTCCACAAGTTTCAATGGCATGCATTGGCAGGATGATTTCAATTTGCTCCAATTTACTCCATTCTAAATCGGCTCCCGTCCAAACGGCGAACGGCAAACGTCTCACCTCAAACCGCAGTTGGACGTTTGCAGTTAACGTGGATCTAAAGGTCTCTAATGACCAAAAAGCTTATCAAACAAAAACAACAGCAACAAACAACAGAAGTTTTGGCTTACGTCAGCAGTTGAGTCCCAGCCCTCGTCGTCCAGCCAATCCGAGGCTTCACCGAGAGCCTGGTTAATCTTCTCTCTTTCTTCCTCTGTGGACAATAACACTCCTTCGTCACTGAACAGTTTTTCACGCATGTCATATATGTGTGTCTCGAGCAAGTTCTTGGCTCGTTCATTGGCGACCTTAGCGTCATCTCGTGCTTGCAAGTCCTTAAGTCTGTGGAAACAAACAAAAGGGTTAACAAAGATATTTCATATGAACTGCCGCTTATATGCCCTGGGCTTTTACAACTTTGAAAGGGGTTTTAGATGGGCTTATATTAGCGGGAGGGGGGGGGGGNGGTTATAAGCGAAATTAAAAAACTGTTTTGCAATGAGCAAACGAGTAGAATCGTAATCGCTCAAAATTTTCGGGAAGATCTTCAAAAACACGCGCTACGTCCCAATCAAGTTCATAAGAGTTGTCATCTAAGTTTTTTTTCTACTGTTTAGGTCTTCACACATTCCATTTTTCAAAAGCTGAACATGGAATTTTGAGCGGCTTTTTGCATTAGAAGAACACTAATCGTGACAAGACCCTCCAACAGAACTAACATTGCGTGACTTCATTAAGCCACGCAAAGATATTCAGAGTTATTTTTGTCGTAAAAAGTCAGTTCAAAATGAAGAATACCTCAAAAGAATAGTTTTCTCAGGTGGAAAATTTCCAAAGAAAAAACAATCAACCTAAAATAAACACGGATGGTTACAACCGAGGAAGATTGACAAGGATTGAGAATAATGCTAGCCATACTTCTTAACAGATGTGGACATGGCGTCCTCTGTAGTGTCGGCAATATCCTGCCATTGGACCGTCATCTCAAGCGGTTCACGAACAGTCACTGGCTTGCTTGGTTTTTTCTCTTCTGTTTTCTCTTTGGTAGCTTCTTCTGTTTTATTGCTAGCCTTCTCTTCCTGCAACGAATAATCATATTCTGATTTAATTATGAAGGCCGCACTCGGGCCTGACTGGTCCATATCGCCGGTTTCAGTAGCATGAAGCAACAAGAAGTATTGCCACTTCCCCTGGGTGGGATGTTACATTTTGGCAGTTAACCCCCCCTCCCTCCTCGGCCCACCACCATCGACCTTGATTAGAGAGGCAATGTGATAGTAACGTGTATTGCTAAACACAGTGACCCAGCCTAGCGCTCGAAACCACTGGAAACCACTTGATCCGAAGTCCAACACCACAATGATTTGGCTACTGTGCCCTGCTACAGTATAAATACAAATACGGTGGTAAGGGGTGTTTTAGTGATCGATGACATTACCATTTTTCTTTGCACATTTTTGTTTCCCCTGGGGTGTGAACTGGGGTGTGTCAAAAGAAACGTTAAGAGAGTGGGGGAGGGGGGAGGGAGGCAGAGAGGTGAAGGAAGGAGAGAACTTTTGGACTCCACCCACTCTCTCATACAGATTCATTTACGTCAATTAGACAACAACTCATAAGGAAACAGTGTCCACATCACATGTCGATTTATGTCGACAAAATCGACGAAAACCGTTACAAATAAGAACAACTCCACTCTATTTTTCCAAGATTAACTAACCTTTTTGTCGTCAGCTGATTCGTTTTTCTCGCCTTCTTTCTCTTTTTTCTCTTCCTTCTCTTTTTCTTTCTCATTAGCTTGCTTGTCTTCCTCTTCTTGTTCCTTTTCATCTTTTTCCTCTTTTTTCTCCTTTTCTTCTTCCTTCTTTTCTCCCTCTGCCTGTTGTTTTTCCTCGTCTGCTTTCCCTGCCGGCTTCTCCTCGGTCTTTTCACCTTCTTTAGCCTTTGGGTCTTCCTGTTCGGATTTTTCTTTGTCCATTTTTTCACTTTCTTGTTCCTCTGACTTATCACCTTCCTTCAAAATCACCGACAAATGAAACAACAAATCAAAAATTAGAAAATACGCCTTCACAAGCCAGAAAAATATTTTTCAAACAAGCTGCTCAGCTTACAGAGGGGATATCGTGTTAATGTACTCCCAAAGTTTCAGAACTCGTACCAAAAAGAATGTATGGGACAGTAGGGAAAATTTCTATTTTGAGCTACTAGCCACTTACCTCTACTTTGCTATCTTTATTTTCGTCTTCTTTTGAGCTTCCAAAGAAGCTTGAAATTTTGCTTCCGATTTCTGATGGGAAAAAAGTTTAGTTCAGAGACAGCGAAGCATTTTCTACTTGTAGCTGAAATAGAAGTTAAATTACTATCAAAAATCATAACTTCACTACCTAGGACCATAGCGTCAACAAGTTAACTTCGCTTCTCCATTTCCATCAAAAAATTGATTCACGCTCTAAGCTGTGCTTCATCGAGTTATCAAACAATTGGAAAGTTTGGAGAGCACTCAAGAAGCTAGAGTCGCTATCTTTTTCGGGGGGGGGTTGCTGCACCGTGAACTTCGTCGAAGCTTTGATTTCTATTTACTTTTTATTTTATCACACATTAAGAGAACAATTTCTGTATTTGCTACCACTTTGGCAACAACTTTGGCCAAATGGATTCTCCTCCCTCACCAATCCCCCTACAGATAATCGACCATTATTTTAGTTCTAACATAGCATAAAAAGCTTACTTGCAAATGTTGACTGCTCTTCTTCAGGTTTTTCGTCAGGCTTTTCAAACACAGACTCCACCTGTTGAACATTGAACAACATTTCAAGTCATTGTCAATCAAAACTGACTAACTCTACATACACACCCGTCTTTTCTAAAAGACATTCGCAGATGTGGCAGTTTCAAATTGACAACACGGTGAGAATTGACGTTCTGTACCCTACAGTACCGTAAAATCCCACGTTAAGCCCGGGCTTATATAACTTCGTAAGGAATTTTGGGTGGACTTATAAATGGCGGGGCTTATATCCGGGGGGGGGGCATCTAAGCGGAATAAAAAAATGTTTCAGAACGACCAGATAAAACGTATCTGAGAAACGAAATAAAGCTAACATACCATTACATCTAGAGCTATTATCCTATTACCCTATTAGCCTATGGAACGCACTTATATCCGGGGGGGCTTATATCCGGAATAATATGTTTGT